AACAGCGTAAAAATCTCGAAACTCATATATCTTTGCGCAGTTCGCATCAGTACACAGTATACGTATCTACGGTGAAGAAAAAATTTAAATGTTACTTCTTTTTTTTTTTCGAGTTCTTGACTCCAATGTTTTTGGGGAGGGACAGTGCTTGGGTTTTGAATTCAGTAGAAATTATTTTTTTTATGTTCTGGTTCCCACGAAAAGGAATATCCTGTAATGTTCAGAGAACATCGTCAGAACCAAGGGAAATAAGGTAGGAATTGGTGTTCTTCTTAAATTTCTGGAGGTTATATGCCTCGAGGAACACCTCCCTTGGCGATGTATTCCAGAGCCTCGCTGTTCGATGGATGAACGAGTCCTTGGAAAGAGATGTTCTGCAGGTATTCAAAGTGACCACGAAGGGGTGCGAAGCCTCGACCAGGTAATCTCGCGGGGACTGCCAAGGGAGGAACAATTGTTGATATTTCAGAAGAGCATCGTCCATGAAAATATCTAAATAGAGCCAGATCGACAACTCTTCTACGGTGTTCCAGAGAAATGAGTGAGTTTGTGAGTGAGGTATCACCCACGAGACGAATTGCCCTTTTTTGGACAGAATCCAACAGTTTCAGGGTATGTTTGGGTGCTGCACCCCAAATATGGGAACACTATTCCAGGTCAAGTCGGATCTGTGCCTTATAGATCATGAGTAGCTGATTGGAAGTGAAATAGCTCCTGGCCCGAAACAGAACAGTTTTTGGGATGCACTTTTAGCCATTGATCTCACGTGATTTTCCCAAGAAAGGTTATTGCTGATAGTGATACCAAGCAGCGAAATGGATGTCATCAATGGTATGGTTACTCCTGACAAGCTTATGTTGGGCACAGTGAGATCGGCTTTTCTAGAGAAAAGGCATGCTTGTGTTTTGTTTGCATTTAAATCTACCAAGTTATTGTATCCCCATTCGAGAATAATTGTTGCCAAGTCCATATTTATGTTGTCAACATTTCTCCCTCGTTCGTTTCTGATTAACCTGGCTGGTATTGGAGCCCTGAAAGAGATGGCGGTATGGAGGGTACTACATGAAGTTGCTTCCAACAAATCGTTGATATGGAGTAGAAATAGTGTTGGTGCTAGAATTGATCCATCTGATATCGAAATGATATATGTCCCTAAGGTATGTAAAAACGTTGTAGTTAATATGCCAATCACTATCCTGAGCGAGATGATTGAAAAATTGCACTTTCCTGTGTGGAAATTTGCACTCGTTTCCGCGATTTGATAACGAGATAAGAATTATGCCATCCGATACCAATTGAATGGTAGATTTCAAGAACCTACCTGTGCCACCGTCAGTCTGAGCCAAATCCACGGCACCAGCGATTTATTTGCTGCTATTATTCAGGACATACTCCCGTCATGTGATAACGAGTTGAAACAAGTAGCAAATGAAAGGGGATGATGTCGTCTTTGCGAATATTCAAACGTGCCACGATTCAAACTGACCTAAGTTAGTAACAGAGCGTCAATATTTCGCCCCCTCTATATAAAGATAATATCCGATGGACCAGTGTAAAACTAAACATGTGGATAAGAAAACTTATAGTGTGAGCACCACTCCGTACAATTATTATAATCATTGGTATATGTGGAGATAATAATTTGCAGAATACTCGTCAAGAAACAGATTTCCAATATGACTTCAGCATGTATTTGAAGTAAGTACCGTTTACAAAGCAAATACAGATGTGGCCGCACGTGGTCTGGACTGAAGGACAGCCATTGAAATATTTCATGTAAAAAAGAAGTACCAACAACTTACGATTGTTTGAAAATCATTTAAAACAGACTCGTGGCTATTTGAAATAGTTCACTGTTCTGGGAATCATTCGGAGTAACATCACAACCAGTACAACTCGAGTATCTTAGATGGTTTCATTTCTTCAAACAGACATTGCATTGGAGATTCTTCACTTTCAACATAAACATCGCTATCTTCATCGTCAGCACCAAGTATTATATTTTTCTCGACGATGTTTTCCCTGAGAATCAAACCAGTAATGTTTTCAACTCGGTTAACGAACCACTTTTATTACCTCATATATCCTGAATTAAAAAAAACGAGTTTTACATGGAAACCATCTTCCGAATTCTTCTTCAACATATTATCAGGTTGTAGCTCGTTATATCCTAAACGGGAAGTCTAAGCGCTTAAAATTATAATTATAGGGTAATTCAATTAAAACGAGTCAATTAATTTACATACAATCGAACAAGCAACTACACAAACATGACGATTTTGTGCGAACCAACAAGCTATTGTTTCATTATTTCAACACAAATTTCGTGGGTTCTTTAGAAAAAACAAACAGAGAGAAAAACAATGTACATTTTTCCACGTAGCTGGAAATTTACAAGTGCATGTGCATTCAGTTTGGGAAAAATAATAGGTTTGTCATTGTAAAAACATACTGGTACATACTTTTGAATTTGAATTAGGATTGTTGCCACTAAATGCTGCGCAGTCAATTCACTGTATATAGATATAGGTATCTTATATGCATATTTAGAGAGTTCTAGTGAGCTAATCGTACGACACACAACAATAAGGTCTAGTCGAGAGTTCAGTGCTTCTCAGATTCAACTTTCCATTCTCGCAACATAAAACACCGATACCGGTGGTAACGATTCAAATCCACCTCGAAATAAACTGCTATTTGAGTCTGTCGCTCATTCACAATTTTTTGCGACACGGGCATTAAAATCAACGCTATTTGAGTCTGTCCCCCATTCACAGTTTTTTGCGATACATGCATTCGAATCACCTCGAAATTCACCGCTATTTTAGACCGTCGCTCTTTCACAGCGTCTTCGCAACACAGGCCTTCAAATCACCGCTATATGAGTCAGACGCTCATTCACAGAGACACGGGCATTCATATCGACCTGGAAATCCACAGATATTTGAGACTGTCGCTCATTCACAGTGTCTTTGCAACACGGGCATACAAATCACCGCTATATAAGTCAGTAGCTCATTCACATTGATTTTTGCGACACATGCCTTCAACTCCACCTCGAAATCCTCTGATATTTGAGAGCGTTGCTCATTCACAGCGTCTTCGCAACACCGGCATTTAAATCACCGCTATATGAGTCCGTCCCCATTCCCAGGCATTGAAATCACTTTTATATGAGTCAGTCGCTCATTCACATTTTTTGAGATACAGGCATTCAAATCCACCTCGAAATCCACCGATATTTGAGACCGTCGCTAATTCACAGCGTCTTCGCAACACGGGTATTCAAAAGTCTGCTATAAGAGTCAGTCAGTCGCTCATTCACAATGATTTTTCGACACATGCATTCAATTCCACCTCGAAATCAATCGCTATTTGAGTTCAGCCGCTCATTCACAGAGCCTAATAGGTCACTTAAAATTGTTATAATACATTCATGCAGTTGACTAACGAGACTCGCAGGACTCGGGAGCAGTTGCACAGTACTAAATTTGCTTTTTTTTCAAAATGTTTCAATGGAAATCTGGCTGTCGACAGCAATATTGAATATATTGGATATTGAATATATTGATTTTCAAGAGCTTATAATGATTCATCGCGATTCTGAATTCTAAACGACTATAATGAGTGTAAAATAACATAAATCTTAATTTATTACTACAAGTAGGTAGGTATGTAACTATGTAGTCTGCATGAGAGCGAATATTTTATTATCGTGATATAACCGCCAATGAATAAGTTAACTATTTTTTCTTCAATATATACTGTTGAATCATATTATAAATGGTAATTAACTGAAATGTATGCGTTTTTATTAACATTATTGTTTGATAAGGAAAAATCCAGAGAATGTGTGAGAATGAACTAGTTTCATTGTCTATAATACCGTTCCATATAGCTAAAGTTTATTAGTCATAAATCCACGAATGATAATTTTATTCCAAAGAATCTATATATGAGTGGGTATAGGTGATGAAACTGTCTATAGGTAAGTATAATAAAATCACATGATATTCCTATAAACTTTTTATGAGGACTTCACCGCTCCAAAGTTAACGAAAATAGTAATTCACATAACAACTCCGGAAAATACGTTTTTTTTGGACGAGTAGACAAAATTCTAGGCAGAGCCGTAGGCGAGTCCTGGAAGTCTGCGAGTCCAAAAAAAACTGTTTTTGTACGTTTTGCGTACACTATTTTTTCGGTAACCATGTAGAATAACAAATGAATGAGACACATTTCCATATTATATTTCTTTGTAGAATAAATACAATTGCTTCTTTATTAATTCTCATTTGTATGAAATACTGAAATTTCAACAGAATACCTATACCTACTAACTTTTACATTGGAAATTTCGTATGGACATTTTCAACTCACTTTCGCAGCTGCTTTCGATAGTTTATTGCGATAATTGCAAAAACGTCAACTAATTTCATATCAAATAGCTGTCAGCCGATATTTCGCTGCTATGGTAATTATCATCTGCATTTATCAAAACCATATCTACCAAGATATTCATAGTTACTACTAGGAGGAAAAATGCTACTTTCTCTGAAAAACTGGTGATTTGGCAACATTGCCATTATCACTATTGAATTAAGCATCTTCGAATACCATCTTGTATAGAATTGCATGAATTTTCTCCGAGCCGTTTCTGAAATTTAAGACCATTCACAGACTTTTGAATGACACTGTAGTTCAACCGAATCAAGGTGACCATATTTTAGGAAAAAGGTTCAGTGAGTCAGAAGATAATTGGGAGCCCCTGGACACACTGTATATACTTATAGTGAATGATTCGATCTCAGAAAGTCGAAAATTTATTCGAAAATCTCGAGGAAAATCTTATCTGCACTTTCAGGGGCTTTGATATACATTTTTACGTGGAATTATGATGTTTGCGGTCACAAATGCCTTCGAATCGAAAGTTCCTGCATATTTTAATAAATTCTTCCCTGATGCAGTGTATCTCATCCGCTCGTCCTTTTCCGTTTCAGCGAACGAACGGCTCGGGCATCTTCGAGCTGCAAGTGCTCGAAATGGCGAATCCGCGTAGCGAGCTGTCGAACGGCGAATGCTGTGGCGGCGGTGCCAGATCTCCGATCGCCAACAACAACGCTAACAACAACAACAGGTGTCCGGTGTCGTGCCAGACTTTCTTCCGGTTGTGCCTGAAAGAGTACCAGAGCAACGTGACGAGCACCGGCTCGTGCTCGTTCGGCAACACGTCGAGTCACGTGGTCGGCAGGGACTCGTTCACGCTCGCCGATCCCGATAGGGGGCGCGTCGTGTTGCCCTTCACCTTCAGATGGACGGTAAGTGATACGAAAACGATTTTCATATAGTTGAAAAACAGTTTCTATAAACATATTATGGGTACCTAAGTGCCCTTCTACATTTCTAGTTGAGCATTCACCGTTTTGGTGATAAATCTTTCACAATATTCTGCTGCTTCACATCGAAATCATGATTGAATGTGAATAATGGAGATACTGCTTTCTCCGAGAGGCACAGTCATATAGAAAGAGGGTACCCACATGTTTTGTCGTATGTTGTGAATCTCCTTATCCGGCTCGAAGGACCAATGTTGACATTAAAAAGCACATATCATTTTTGTGTTGTTCATGAATAGTGAAATCCATTCATTTCTAAGGTTTTCAACAGTGTCGAATTGAGTATAAAAATTGAGATACATCTACAGAATGTTTATATTTCATCACGGTTCCGCAAATATTTTCGAAAAATCGGCATCTCATGTTCGCCTTTAAGTGGCTGTGACCGTTACCATCTACTCTCGATGGTAACGCTGTGCCACCCTAAGGGTGTTTTTTGTTTAAATAAAATTTTTCATCATCTTTGTTCCCATCAGAATCTGCAGTTGGAACCTTTCTATGGAATTAGGGACACCGCGTATAAACATAGATAGTCCAGAAAACAAGGAAGTTTAGCAGCTTCAGCAACGAATGTGCTTGAACAGTAATTTCAGATATTTCAGCACCCTGCACTGTTTTAATAATGAAGATACAAAGTACCTTGCAATTTTCATAGGTGAAATGGCTCTTAGTGAAATTTCCTGAATTTTTATTATGGGAGTATTCCTAGAACTGATTGATACAGTGCGTTCAATTGACAAATCGGTAATTATTATTCAATTATTTTCTCACAGGATTTGGAGGTACCAAGTTTTTTTTTCACTCATATCATCAACCTACCTTCATATCACCGAATATCATCCAGATGGTTCAGATGATGCCATTATTTACAGGATGGAAATCAAAATAATTTTAGTGATATCTGAAGATTCGATGTTGAAATGATATATCAAGAAAATGATGCTGGCATGCAAAAGACTATTTTTATTCACGAATCACAATTCATACATTTCACACAGAGTGATTAGAAACATTGGTGATACATATATGAACGAATCAGTAGCATATAATCTTGGCTGGACATTCAAGTGGATTTATATCCGCTGAAGATAACTGATACCAAATGAATAATTGCAAGGAAGTTTTTCCTGTCGAATATTAACAATAACTTTCTTATTTTTCAAAAAACTTTTTCCCATCCGAGAAGTTTTGGACGTTCGGAGACAGTGAAGTTATATGAAAGAGTAACAATTAATCACAGAATATAACAATAAATATATAATGAAATTAATTGGTGGTTTACAAAATTCCATCAGGTTATATCCTCTTGATTTGTTCTTGTTACGAAACTAAGTTAAATGAAAAAAATTAAGTGGCAACATTTTAATTACATTAAACGAAATATTCGAATCCATCACAGTGGCTTATAATTCATCCGAAGAATTTCTATAATCATCGAAACCGTAATACCGAATGGTAACCGCATTCGATTTGTCTTCGACAGCATTTTTATACGAAATTAACCGTGGCCGAGTCCGGTATCAGTATTTTAATTACCGGTAAAACTTCGAAGATTCGATGGTTTATAATGAAAAGTTATCCGAAATATCCCCACGACATCCAGCTGCTAATGAACAAAATAAACGATGGGACCCTTTAAATTCTTCACTAACGAAAAGCGGGCCTAATCCCAATTACCTGCAGCCTCCTCATCTTCTTCTTCTTCTTCTACATCGTCGTCCACTTCAATTCTTGATGACCTTCATTCTAGGGTCGATGCATGAAACGCTTGCAACGAACTTTCGAGTATTGTCTTTCTATACAGTCACAATACAGTGCTTTTCTTTCTCTCCCATTTATTTTTTGAACGGGTCTACTGAAAAAATTGAAACTTGAAATGAAAGTGATGCTATATTTTGGAGTGAAATTGACAAGATGGCGACTGGGTGCCATCTGTAGAAAAAAAATTTGATGGGACATCTTGTGATACATCATTTCGAAAATCCTGGCGAATACTACACGACCCTAGAATATGAAATCAATATCTTTGCTTGCAACTTATGACTCTTATGAGTATTGTGTTTCCATACAGTGCCTTTCTTTAATATCCCCCCTTCCCTTTTATTTCTAGAACGGTACGATTGAAAAAATTTAAATTTTTGATGCAATAATACTATATTTTGGAGTGAAATTGACAAATGGAAATTTCAAGATGGCGACTGGGTGCCATCTGTGAAAAAAAAAATAAATGGAAAAGGGCATCTTCTGATACATCCACGGAAAAAAAGGATTTGTTGCATCAACAGTTTATTTATGCTTGCATTATTTTGGTTGGAATGAGCAATTTTTTGTTGAATCAACCAGATACATGATTATTTCATGGAAGCAGCTTATTCAAATCGAGAATCTAGTCTAATTGAATCAACAGTAAAATATCGATTCCATCAACAAAACATATGGTTTTCTCAAAAACAAAATATGTCGATCCAAAATAATGTCGATGTTGATTCAAATATAAACATTTTGTTGATTTGATCAAATAATGATCATTTTGATGAGAATATATCTTTGAAACAACATACAAGTTGTCTTATTCCGATGTATCAATGAATTCGTTTCGAAAGGATCATTTGCTTGAATAGAGCAATGAAATATGTAATGTCAATGAAATATTTTGTTCATTCTACATCAACTTAAATTTTCGCCTCTAGATGGCGATCATTTCGCCTTGTCTATGCCTGCCTCGAATTCATCATATACGTGAAACCTGATTCTTCGTGTTTGAAATATTAGCTGAAAAGAAGTAACGACTGAAGATCTATGCTAGAAGTCGACTAGTTTAGTTTATTCTATTGATGTGAAATTTCAGAAAATTCTTGAATTAATACTGAGTTTGGTTCAACAAAACGATTTGTCGAATGGAAATACAGTTTCTCTTGAATCAACGAAATATTTCATCGAATCAACAAAATATTTCATTGAATTAACCAAATATTTCATTGAATCAACCAAATAATTCATTGAATCAACCAAATATTTCATTGAATCTACTAAATATTTGATTGAATCAATATCTTGTTATTTTGAATCAAACAAAATGATTGAGCCAATTCAATATCTCTTCATAAACAATTCATGGATGTGCTTGATTGAATAAGATCCAGAGTTCATGCAAGACATATTCACTCAATACTCAATTCAAACTTCAAATTGGCTCTGAAACAAGATATAGATTCACTCATTTCAAGATTATATTTTGTCGTGCCTACATGACACTTTCATTTGCTTCATTCAATTAAATTTTGCTTGATTCAACAATTCTTTTTTTTTCGTGTGCACTTCAAGCTCCTGACGAATACACCGCAACCCTAGAATCCGTGTGGGTCGTTGGAGATTTTTTGTAGTCTAGGAGACTAATTCTCATCCTTGTCACAACGTCCCTAAAAAAACTTTTCCGTTACCTATATCAAGTTCCTTTCTGAGTGTCATCAATCAGATTATACTATTTTGACGGTGGAACAATAGCCTTGTGTCAAGAGAAATTTCGATAAGACGATGTGGGAAAGGATCTCAAGACAGTGGCTCGAAGCCCTAAGCTGTGCCACTGTTGAGAAAGAAAAATAACCAGAAAAATACTGTAACGACTTATCACGTGTCGTTATTACTATTATACGAGAATCGCCGCGGGTAACGTTTCTTCTTCTCACTTCATTTCTCCCGAAGAAGAAGAAGAAGATGATGGTTAAAAGGAAGGTGTATACCTCGATTTAAACAGGTTGGGCATAAAAACGAGACCATTTGCCGTGGTTTTTTTCAACCGAATCCATCACACCGACTGAGATTATAATATTATTCGTCCACAAAAAGCGTTAAATATCGTGTGAAACGTTTTCCATTCGCTTTATGACGATATATTTTTTTATATAGAAATTGTTATCTACTTCATCAATTATCGGAACTTTCTTTTCACCAAAATGTAGGTAATGGGTAATCGGACGATGTGATGCAATTAATTTGTAAATGTTGCTCTGGATCCATCAACACCTATACAGGGCGATAAAAAGTTTCAATAAGTTGATAATCTTTGAATGACAATCTTAAATATTTCAATATTGATGATATATATGGTTCTGAGTATTTGTAGGTACATACACTAAAGGGATTGATTAAGACATTCCGATCGAGTTACAGGGTGGTACCTACATATTTTGAGTACCTATAGAATGTTCTTCAGCATACCATCGACCAGTTCTATCACTCAATACCTACATTATTTTGATCTTTAGTATCAATTTTAGTAAATTGTTTGGTTTGCAAGATATTAGTTGAAAATCAACTTGAGGTACCACGTGACCCCCTTTTACATTTGAAAAAAAGGAAAAAGTAGTAAAAAACGTACCTTTTTACCTGAATTTTACCCGAACTCGCTAGCTTGTTCCATTCAAAAGTAAAAGACGAGGTGAAAGGGGTTAGGACTTTTTTCGTCCTCACTGTACATATACCTTCGGGATCAATTTTTCAAATACTTATTCAATAATTAAAACAGAACCATCCTGAATCTAACAATTAACTAAGAAAAAAGATATATAAACGTGCCAGAAGACAATAATTCTGAACTGCATCAATTAAGAATTCAAATTGAATCAAATTGAATTTTATAAAATATCCAAAGTACTAAGAAAGATACAAAAGTAAGTATACAAAATATCAGAACCATATCACCAATATTGAAATATTAAACACTATACCTGATGTATAAAATATGTCCATATAGGAAGAGACTCGGGAAGAGGTGATATGATAGTATATTTCATCGAGTTCTATCGATTCCTAGAATATCAGTCATTGAAAATTGAACACCCTGTATCCTGTATACCTACATATAGAAACTACCTCATCGTAGAGATTTCTTTGAGTTATTATTGTCTTCTTAAATCAATAAC